CCCCCCCCCCCCCCCCCGGGGGGAGCCGGGGGCCGGCCCTATACCTCAGATTTTATTCACCATTTATCTGAAATTCAAGTTTAACAAAGCATTGAGTATTTTTCTTTTCTTTCCTTTTCTTTTTTTCCTTTTTTTGTCTTTTTTCATGACCGGTAACGGGATCGCAACCCTAAGTGTCGCGCCCGTACCGCGACCGGCAATGGGATCGCAACCCTCGGTGTTGCGCCCACACCGCGCTCAACCAGTGAGCGGACTGGTCTGTATATGGGATCCGAACCCTCGGCGGAAGCACCGCCGCACTCCCAAGCGCCGCACTGTACCGAGTGCGCCACCGGGCCGGCCCAGTATTTTTCTTTTCTAAATATGGCGACCCTGAGTATAGACAACCCCAGGGAACAAGTCTGATAACGAGGAGTGAAGACATGTCAGAGGTAGTTGGACACACTGGCCTTGAACTTGGGAGAGGGTTCAGGGCTGGTGCAGAGGTTTGGGACTTGCTTCTTATCCTCCCAGTCTTATCTACCCCACCCTTCCCATCCTCCCCATCTTCTCACCTGCCAGGAGCAGCTGCAGCTGTACTGGGCCGTGGACTCCACATTTGAGCTCTGCAAAATCTGTGCTGAGAGTAACAAGGACGTGAGGATCGAGCCATGCGGGCACCTGCTCTGTAGCCGCTGCCTGGCTGCCTGGCAGGTGGGTCTGACCTCTGCCCCGCCTTCTCACCTGGTCTTTCCCTGTCTCCCCCTCTCTACAGTAAAAGCTCCAAGAGGATCTCCCATATGCCTCATTGATCATCAGATGGGGAAGTTGAGGCCCAGAGAGAGCAGAGACCTGCTCGGGATCACTTAGGAGCCTGGCCGTCTATGTCTGTGCCTCAGTTTCCATCTCACTCTGCATGCGTTACTTCTGTTTCTCCTTCTCCAGCTACATCATTTATGAAAAGGGCTCCTTCCTTCCCTTGATGGGTGATCTGGGGCCAGTGGCTTTGCCTCTCTGAGCCTTAGCCTCCTCCTGGGGAGGATGGGGCTGATGATAGGAACCTCCCAAAGGCCATAGTGAGGATCTGAGCTCACGAAGCCCTCCACAATGGCCAGCCCGGGAGCTGCTGCCCCAGCTGCACTGGGTCCCCATCTGCGTGGGCCCCTCCTGGCCCCGGGCTCTGGTCCAGCCCCCGCCTCCCACCTTCCTACCCAGCATCTCTCTCCCTATTTCCCTCTCTGCATGACTCCTCTCTCCCTCCATTTCCCTCCTTCTGTCTGTCCTCCACACATCACTCTATTGGGAGTGGAGGTCTTCACAGTCCCAAGGGATGTGCTGGAGAACAGGGAGACACTGACCTTTTCCCTCCCGGCCTCCCCTAGCGTTCGGATAGCCAGACCTGCCCCTTCTGCCGCTGCGAGATCAAGGGCCGAGAAGCCGTGAGTATATATCAATTCCAAGAGAAACCAGCAGAAGCCAGCGTCACTGCTAAGGACCTAGGGGACAGCAGTGACCAGGAAGATGGGGAGTTGGAGCAGGGGCAGGTAAGCAGGGCCAGGCAGGAGCTGGAACTGGAATTCCTGGGGTCTGATGGAGAAGTGGCTGGGGGCCCAGACTGCTAGGTCTGAGGGGGCAGGGGGCTGGGAACCCAAACTCCTGGGTCTGAGGGAGGAGGGGGCTGGTGACAGGCTTCCTGGGTCCTAGGGGCTCGGATTTTTGCTTCCCCAAGGATCTGGGCTGTGGCTTTCTCTGATTGTAACCCTCCCAAGGGTTAGGACTTTGTCTAACTCTCCATTATATCTCGAGTCTAGAACAGTGCCCGAATGCTGGGATCCCAGACAGGAGGACGAGTAGGTGAAAAGGGACGGCAGCTCACACCCCCTCCTCACCCTCTGTCTCCTCCAGGCGGCCCCCTCACCTCCTCCACTGCCCCCGCGGCTAGACCTGTCCCCCAGGAGACCCACAAGTGAATTCCAGCTGCAGGTGGTGAGTCAGGCCTTGTCTCAGGTCGGCAGCTCAAGCGTCACTCAAGCCCAGGGTCCCCGGTCCGGCGGGGCACCCAGGCACCGTCCTTGGCACCCACCACCTCTGTGACCTCTTCTCTTGTTCTCTTCCTTATTCATCCCCTCCGTGGCTTTCGTGCTCTCCCTCCATCATCCCAGGCATGACCTAGCTCAGGGCCCCTGCACTAGCTGTTCCCTTTGCCTGGATCACCTTTCCCCGGGCTCGCTTCCTCACCCCTCTGCAGGGAGGCCTTCCCTGACCACCCTATTGACAAAAGGACCTCCATCTCTGTCACATCTTTTATAGTCCTTTTCACCACCTGGCACAGTGCACGGTTTTGTTTTCTATCAACGTCAGCAAGTTGAAACACTCCTGAGGATTATTACTTTGTCTTATTCTCTGTTGTATCTCCAGAGCCCAGAACAGGGCCTAATACTACACATAGTAGGTGCTCAGGAAATAGGTGTTGAAGGAATAGACTGAACTGAGTCCTCCCAGCAGCCCCATGAAGTCGAAAATGTTTCTCTCCCCATTTTCCAGAGGAAAAAAGCTCAAAGAGGTGATTGCACCTGCCCAAAGCCACACAGCCCGAAAGAAAAGAATTCAGTGCTGGGGTCTTTAAGGTCCTAGCCTTTCTTCTCCCCCCACCTCCCACCCCAGGATATTCTGTGACCATGACCCGCTAGGGTGGGGCAGATCCCTGTTAGCATCTCAGGCTGGGTACACACAGCCTTTAATCAATACTAGGCCATCTTCAAACAAACAGCTCAGGAAGTCCAGGAACATTATTCGACCACAGCAAACAAGAGAGCCAGCAGGAAGGGGGGTGGCGATGAGACCGGCAAGGGAAGCTAAAAACAGATCCCGACCTGCAGCCAAAAGCAAATGGAAACATTAGGAGGCACTCAGCTGGCTCCCTGAGGACCATAAGGGGGACACGGCCAGAACGGCAGGCTGACAGGGCACCTCTGGCCAGATGGTTGCACCTTTGCCTAGTCTGTGCCGTCCGCCTGGCATGCCCTTTCCTCCTCTTCCCAAACCCTGCCTGATTCAAATTCCAGTCCACTCCTACTCTTTCACTCTTCAAAGCATTCCGTGGAAGAGACAGCCCTCGGTTTGCTATTTCCCAGCAAGGTGACTGTCGTCTTGAAAATAATTAATGTGTGTATAACTTTCACTATGTGCCTGGCACTGCTTTTTAACATGTTTGTTTAATTGTCATGATCGGGTTGGCTGGTCAGCTCAGTGGGTTACAGCACGATATTGTAACACCAAGGTCAAAAGGCTCGGATCCCCACACCAGCCAGCTGCCAAAAAAAAAGATTAATTGTCATGACAGCATGAGGGGGGTAGGTAGTTATGATCCCATTATACAGAGGGGGACGCTGAGGCTCAGAGCTGAAGGTCACCCAGCTCACATGTGATGGTGTCAGAACTGGAACCAGGCCTTTGGCTGTAGACTCCTCACATCCCTTCCTCCACTCTCTCTGTGGGCCTCAGTTCCTTTGTCTGTAAAATGGGCATGATGCTCAGCCCTGCCTAATGGGGCTGCTGTAGGCACTGGATAGGATGGGGCTGTGTCAATGTGGTTGTGATTTGCATACGGGCTCACAGGGGACCTCTCTGACCCTCAGCGTCTCCGTGTGGAGAATAAGGGCAAGCATGCCCTATAGGTTTCGATGATGCCTGTGAGATCAGTCATCTATAAAATGGGCATGATGCTCAGCCCTGCCTAATGGGGCTGCTGTAGGCACTGGATAGGATGGGGCTGTGTCATTGTGGTTGTGATTTGCATACGGGCTCACAGGGGACCTCTCTGACCCTCAGCGTCTCCATGTGGAGAATAAGGGCAAGCATGCCCTATAGGTTTCGATGATGCCTGTGAGATCAGTCATCTGCAATCTGAGTCAAATCCCCTCCCTTGCCTCTAAGAAGCCGCCAATAGCTCCCCAGGGCTCTAAGAATTCAACCCAAAGTCCTCTCCATAGCCCACCAGGCCTAGTGATCTGACCCTCCCCACCTGTCTGACCTCATACCACCACCCCTCAAATGCTTTGCTCTCCTTCTAACAAGTCCACCACCCACGGCAAGCCTCAACCCAGATCCTTTACTCAGGCTTGTGTTCAGTCGTTGCATCTCCAAGAGGCCCCCCAGCTGCCCTCCTATCTCCAGTCACCCTCCACCCTCTCCATTCTCCATTACATGAGGGACACATAACCCTTGTTCATGAGCTGATTACTCACTAAGCCTCTTGCTCCACATCAAGTCCATCAGCTCCACAAGAACAGAGAATTTTTTTCTGTTTTGTGCACAGCTGTCTCCCCAGAGCCTAGCACAGTGCCTGGCACACTATAGATGCCCAGAAAATGTTTGTGGGATGAATGAATGAACAGATGAACAGATGGATGGATGAGTGGACAAACAGACAAATGAAAGTTTCTTCCTGCTCAAGGCAGAGGTGCAAGAGAAAACACAGAATAGACAAGAACCTATCATACAGCCCCCACCACCACTGCCTGAGAAATGACGTCCCCAGGTCCCAGGTTGCCTCTCAACTGGCACATTTCTTAACCTCCTCCCCTCCAGGCACCTTTGGCCCTTCCAAGACTTCGCACCCCCCTTCCCTTGCCAAGAATTGGGACTGTGGCCTCAGCGCCGTGGGAAATCACCTCCAGGCTCCAGGCCAGGGAGGGGGCCACAGAGTAAGAGGAGAGGATCCCAGGGTGGTCTGGGACTCCTGGGTCTAAGGGAAAAGGGGACGGGGAAGGGGGACAGAAGGGAAACACTGGATCCCAGAAAATCAACAGCCCCCTCCCAAACTCTCTTCACTGCAGAAACTCCTAAAGGGAAACACCCCTCCAGCTGCCCGATGAGGCCCGTGATCACTGCCCAGGCCTGGAGGCTAGGTGAGTCCACTCCCCCTCGCTCCAGATTCCCTTCTTGGCCTGGCCCTGTCTAGCTCCACCCCATTCCGCCCAGATGTGATCTAATCTAACCCACCTCTCTTTCCGCATCGCAGGGCACCAAGATGTGCTGCTAAAGGGAGCCCCAGGGGCTGGAAGGGGTTTGTGAAGCAGAAATAAACTGCCAAGCCTGATGTGTCCTCTGGTGTGTGAAGGAAGAGTGCGGCGACCACCAGGGGGCAGCTTGGCACTGGGAACGGACATCTCAGAGACCTGATCCCCCCCGCCCACTCCCATCAACTCAGGGTTCTGGGTTCCCAACCTCCTCCCTCGGTCCCAGGAATCCTGCTCTCAGGACTTAGGAGTCCAGAGTCCCAAGTTCTCAGAGAATCAGGCATCCAAGCCCCCTCCCCCATCATGGCAAAAAAAATCCTGGACCCAAACCCAGATCTCCAAGTTCTAAGTCCCTAGTCAGAAAGACCCCACGTTTCCTTAAGAGTCTGCACCCAGTCTGGCCACGACCTGCTCTCTTTCCTCCATTCCCCTCTGAGATCCTGCTCCCAGAGTAACAGTAACTTCCAGTTGAAATCGAGCTGAGGAAGCATCTTCCCATCTCATCACTAATCCTGGAGGGACTCAAGCCTCCCTCCACTTCAGTTTAAACCAGTCCACACCCCCGAGCCCCTCCCCTGTGCCCACCCTGAGCTGAGCAATGCTGGGCACAAAGTAGAGATCACTGCCCCCCTAGGGTTCACAGTCTGCTAGGGGAGGCAGACCTGACTCCAGACAGTGATGAACCACAGGGGGCTGCAGGAGCCCAGATGGGATGCCTGACCCAGCCTGGGAGGTCAGGGAGGGATTCCAGGATGAGGGGATGTCGGGGCTGAGACTTAAAAGATAGGGAAAAGGTATCTTATCGGAAAGGGAGCCTGAAAGCATATATCGCAGATTTAGTTGCAACAGCAGCCATCTCTGAGGCAGAAAGGGAATTTCTTGGGGTATCCCATTGGAAAGGGAGCCTGAAAGCATATATCGCAGATTTAGTTGCAACAGCAGCCATCTCTGAGGCAGAAAGGGAATTTCTTGGGAGGATTTTGGGCCATTCACAGAATCCCAGAAGTGACTTGGAGAACCAGGATTGGAAAGTGAGCAGGAACACTGGCAGCGGGCCAGCAGCAGTGACCCAGCCACAGTCACACCCCAGAACCGGTCTGATGAGGACACGCTGGTGCCCCAATGTCCTTGGGACACTGTGGTCATTTTGCTGCCTCTACTGCCCCAGAAACAGGATGTCGCTGCTCTTCTCATTAGTGGTTGCTCCTAACAAATCACGACTTTGTGGCAAATGACAGCAGTCACTGTGTTACCTCTCATGGTTGCTGTGGACCAGGATTTGGGGAAAAGCTTTGTTGGTTCTGGCTCAGGGTACAATCCAACGGTGCAATCTAGTGATGATGCCTGGAGCAGGGAGCTGGGGGCTGGACAGATGTCCCTCTGCAGTCTCGGAGCCTTTCCATGTGGTCTCCACACTTGCTAGCTTGGACTTCCCCACAGTATGGCTGCCTCAAGGTACTCAGCTTATATGATGGACGAAGGCTTCACAGAGAGTATTCCAGTGACTCAGGTAGATTCTGCATGACCTTTTCTACCTCATCTTGGGGGTCATGCAGTGTCACCTTTTTTTTTTTTTTTTTTTTTTTTTTTTTTTTTTTTTTTCCTACAGTCCACCCCTTTGAATGCTAAACATCAACACGCCCTGTGTTCTATACTCATACTCTCTCCCCACAAAAAGTTCTTATCTAAATCTCCCTGCACAATGAACTCTCTTACAACCAAGAATACATTCACACAACCACCCCAGACAACACAAAATTTCAATAGTTCGATTTTCCAGATCCAAGTCTCAAATCACTGGAGAATAATCATTTCCTTCCAAATGTGTCATGATCCCCATATTCCACAAGCTGTGAACTAGTTTTAAAGTTAACCAACACACTCCGTATGTAAAATAATGAAAGGCAGAGAAAAGATTTGCTAATTAAAATATATAAGCATATACACATCAGACAGCAAGGATGGAAGTGGAAAATTAGTTAATTCAGTCCACAAATATTTACTCATCTCCTGTCAAGAACTGGAGATACAGGGGTGGACGAAAGAAAGTTCCTGTTTGCTTGGAGTTTATATTCTGTGCAAGACAAACAATAAAAAATAACTAAACATAATTTGGCGATGATAAATGCTAGGGAGGAAATGTAGTAAGATAAGGGATGCAAGGAGTGGCTGGGTAGCAGCACTGCTATTTTAGATCGGATGGCCAGGAGAAGCTCTTTAATGACATGAACCGGAGGCCGGCCCGTGGCTCACTCGGGAGAGTGCGGTGCTGATAACACCAAGGCCCCGGGTTCTTGCTATTTTAGATCGGATGGCCAGGAGAAGCTCTTTAATGACATGAACCGGAGGCCGGCCCGTGGCTCACTTGGGAGAGTGCGGTGCTGATAACACCAAGGCCCCGGGTTCGGATCCTATATAGGGATGGCCGGTTTGCTCACTGGCTGAGCGTGGTGCTGACAACACCAAGTCAAGGGTTGAGATCCCCTTACCGGTCATCTTTTTTAAAAAAAAAAAAAAAATGACATGAACCGGAGGCCGGCCCGTGGCTCACTCGGGAGAGTGCGGTGCTGATAACACCAAGGCCCCGGGTTCGGATCCTATATAGGGATGGCCGGTTTGCTCACTGGCTGAGCGTGGTGCTGACAACACCAAGTCAAGGGTTGAGATCCCCTTACCGGTCATCTTTTTTAAAAAAAAAAAAAAAAATGACATGAACCGGAGTAGAGATTTGAAGCAACTGAGGAGGAAACTATGCAGGGAATGTCCCAGCAGAGGGAAGAGCAAGTGCAAAGGTCCTGAGGCTGGAGCAAGCCCAGTGTGTTGGATGCACAGCATGGCAGCAAAGAGACCAATGTGATAGGAGTGGAGCTAGATAGTGGGACTGAAAGGAAGATGGGGACAGGGAGGTAATGACAGCCAGATCAAGGACCTTGTGAGCCTTGGCAAGAACTTTAGCTTTTACTCTGAGTGAGACAGGAACCCCGAGAGGACTGAGCAGAAGAGTGACATCAGCTGACTCACATTTTAATGGCATCCCTCTGGCTGTTTTGCTGGAATAAATTGTAGGGGACAAAGGCAGATGACGTTACAATACTAGTTTCTGCAAGTCTGTGAGGGGCCATGGCTGGTATTTATGACTTTCCTCCTTTATACACACTCCACGTAGTCCTCTCCCTCACCTAGAACCTCAGCTGGTTGGGTTCCCGAGGAAGATGGAAGGGGGATGGCTGATGAGAAGACACCTAGCAGGGTCCAGCCCAAGCAGCAGGCACACAAGCTGGGAAGAGAAGAGCTAGGGAGTGGGTGTCTGGGGTCGCAATGGGCGAGCTGGTCCAACTGCAGGTGTCCCTGAGTGAGTTTATATTGCATGCCCTGCTACGATCCAGTCTGGATGGAGTTTGCATGTGAGCCTGTGTGCCCCTAGATTTGAGCTTTGCAAACCTTCTCTGAGCACCTGCTGAGTCTGGTCTTGTGCTGGGTGGTGCAGGGGACACAGTGGTGGCCAAGACAGGCCTGGTCTTGCCTTCAAGGGCTCACAGTCCCGTGGGGGAGACAGACCTGTCCCCAGACAGGGACCAACTGGTGTGCAGGGCTGAGGTGGGGGGAAACTGACCCAGCCAGGGGGACAGAGAGGACTTCCTGGAGGAGGGGATGGTGCAGCTATTACTAAAAGGTCACCTTTCCCAGTGTAACAGTTGTTCTCCTATATGACCAATAGATAAAGTAGCCTTGGCCAGACTGACTAATAACTCCAGAAGGACCTATAATCTAAGCCTTCCCTCTGTGTCCGACAGGGAAAAGCCCAAGCTCCAGGGACTGTCAGTCTTACCAGTGACCCCCAGGTGGGTCAGAGGCCTGAGGAACCTCTCAGCACGCCCCCCATTCTGACCAGTGTCCTGGGTTAACTTCTCCCAGGTAACCAGTGACATCTCCCTCCCCACAACCCCCCAGCCAGCGATCTGGGGATTTTGTTCCAGTCTGACCTGGCTTGTGAGGAGCCTCAGGCAATCTGATCTGTGACGCCCCCAGAATGACCTATGACCCTCCCTCTGACCAGTGGCTGGGCTCTTCCTCCTTCCCCCAGGTGCCCAGGCCTCCTTCCCTCCCCCATTCACCTGCTCCTGCCAGCCGGATTCTCCTCCCCTCCCCCCAAGGCTGGGAGGGAATGAAGGAAAAGAGGGAAGGAGGAAGGGGGGTGGCATTCCTGGGATTCCCTGGATGGGGGAAGAGACGGAGGGCCTTCCAGGGAAGAGCAAGCAGGGGATAGGGCACCCGCATCCCCCATTCCCATCATCACAGAGGCCTAGGCGGAACTGGGATTTGAAGACTGTTAGAGATAAGAGACTGAATTGATCAGTTCCAGGCCTCTGGTCAGAGGAGGAGAGCAGCCCGGAGCGGGGCCATCACAGCACAGACTGGGAGAAGCTGCTCCAGGCCACTGGTCAGGCCGGGGGTCCCCAGTTACAGGGAGAGGCCGGTGCAGGCCGCTGGTTGTACTGGTTTTCAGCTGGTTAAAATCGACCAGGCAAGCCCAGGCCCCTGACCATAGCGGGAATAAGTCCCCCAAGGCCCCTGGTCAGAACGAGGGGGCGAGGGTCCGCGACTGGTGGGACCCCAGGTCAGGACACTGGCAGGACTGGTTGGTCGGGCTCCCCGCCGCGGCGCTGGTCCGCTTGCGCCGCCGGGACAGCCGGACAGCCCGGG